CTTTGTCTTGTGCAGATGCTTTGTGCTTGACCTGTCCTGAAAGTCCCATCAGGCCTGGCTGCTCAAAGATTGCCCATTCTGGTCTGGCCGCAAGGTATTGTTTTGCTTTTGTATATTGCCTGGGCTTATTTTTCCATGGCAACCAGACCTAACACCATATATACTTCAGCCTGATTTTACCATCCCCATTCTAGAGCATTCTGTTTTCTTTTAAATTGAAAGACACAATTTAAACTTCAACAACCTTATAAAATCTATCATTTGTAATATTTAGACATAAACAATCAGGCAAATTGTGAAGAGGGCCTAGGAGCTTCTTGCAAAAGTTTGATGAGTTTGTCTGTACTCTGTATATTGTGCAAGTAGAGTTCGGATGTGATGCATCCCTCATGCAAAATTCCTGCCAACTGACAGCTTAAACTTGTAAAGAATGGCTACTTGAACAGCAAGCAAACAGAATTCTGCAACTACCTCAAAACTGCTTCTAATAGAGGAGTGCAGCCCCAGCAACACTCAAGAAGCTTGACACCATCCAGGACAAAACAGCTCACATAAATGACACATCCACAAACATCAACTCCTCCACCACTGACCTTCAGAAGCAGCAGTTGTATACTATCTACAAGATGCAGTACAGAAATTCACCAAAGATCCTCAGACAGCACCTGCCAATCTCTCAACCACTTGTATCTGGAAGGATGAGGGCAGCAGACACTGTCACTTACAAGTTCCCCTCCAATGCACTCACCATCCTAACGTGGAAATATATCACCATTCGTTCAGTGTGGCTGGGTCAAAATCCTGGAATTTCCTCCCTAATGGCATTGTGAGTCAACCTACAGTGCATGAACTGCAGCAGTGCAAGAATGCAGCTCACCACCACCATTTCAAGGGCAAGTAGGGAGGGGCAATAAATGCTAGACCAGCCAGCGTTGCCCATGGGTAAATATAAAAATAAAACTTTTACATAAATCTGGTCACACCTTCCATGGTTGTGGCGTGTTAGAGATCTGTTAGCATGCTGTCCTCCCAGAGGAGGCAGATGATGGTTGTGACCATCCTAGAGAAAGGAGATGAGACCAATTGCAGTTTCTACAGATAGGTCTCCCAGCGTATTTGCCACAGGAGAGGTAATTGCAGAATTCTCCTCATTTACTTACCAGAGGTATCAACCTTTTTCATGATCTTCTTCGACCTCATGAAAACCTTTGAACCACTGTGTAGTGTCCTCCTCAAATTTAACAGCCTGCGGACATTTGTCACCATTCCCTGCCTGCTTCACATCAACATGCAAAGCCCCGGTCCTCACCAAAGGATGAACCATGGATCCAATATGTTTGCAAACTTAGGTCAAGAAACATTATGTCATCAAACCAACCCTCTTCTCCATTTTTCTTGTCACAACATTCCACTCCATATCTATGAAACTATCCAATGGAGAGAAGCTTCTCTAAAGAGCGAGTAGGAGCGAGTTCAACCTGCATTGCCTCCAGTGCCGTCAAGACACCCTAACCTCTAATTGAGCTGTAACACACAGGCAATGCTTATGTTTATGCTTGATCAGAGGTTGAGCTCCAAACTATCATCAACATATTCATGGACGCTCATGAGAGAGTTAGCCCTGAGGCTAAGCATCTGGAAGAGAAATGTTCTCTACCAGCTGGAGCCTGTGTGGAACACTGTCCCCTGACGATCAAGATTCATGGCGAGTCACTTGACAATATGGATCCATTCCTATACCTCTGGTGCCTCCTTTCAATGAGGGAAGATGTACATCATCACATTTAATGTACCAGAGCAGACTTTTGCCATCTGAGGAACAATATATTTGACACCAAAGACCACAAACTTGACGCCAAGCTCACGGTTTACAGGGCAGTATTGATACCTGTCCTTCTGTTTGCATCCGAGTCATGTAGAAACTTCAGCAGTCATCCCTCCACAAAATCCTGCAAATTCACTGGCAGAATAGGTGTTCCAAAATCATACCCTCACGAGCCAACATTAGCAGTATTGGGGCACTGGTTACTGCCAGTCAGCTGTGTTGGACAAGCTACATTGCCTGTATGCCCAACACAAGACTTCAAAAACAAGTTCTCTACTCAGAGCTTTATCACAGCAAGTGGTTACCAGGAGGGCAGAAAAAATGTTTCAAGGACATCCTTAAAGTATTCCTGAAAAAAATGCAACATCCTCACTCATGGGAAGCTCTTACCCTAAACTGCCCAAACTGGAGAAGGAGATCCACAAAGGTGCCAACTGTTTCTCAACAATTTTACACAACAGGCTCAGGTGGAGGCCAAGTGCAAGCAGCAGAAGGTGCATGCAAAAACCCAGGCAACCCTACCAAACTCTTCAGATACTACCTTCCCAATCTGTAGTAAGTGTGTGCATCCAGCATTAATCTATTTAGTCACCTCAGATCCTTAAATTCCCAGAGTGAAAGAGAGTCATCCTTGGTCTTACTGGACTGTTCAAGGAGACATAATCTGACATCTTCCAGACTTCTGCTTTTTCTGTTCTGCATGACTTAGTTGTCACTTGGTGAACTGATTTGGTTAGAAAATGTCCTTGCCTATTTTGTGTAGAAGATTAATAGAATCATCATTGTTTGCAAAGTGTGCAGGTTTGAATATGGTTTTTTGCTATCGGTGCTCCCTGTCAGACATATCATCATGACACCGAGTGGTCTGGCAAGCACCTAATCCAGCATAGGGAACACTATAGTGAGATTAAAGTTGATATTTTCACAAAGACACAAGCAAGATTTGAACATATTATGTTTAATTGCAGAGTAAGAAAGTAGCAGCAACTATACACATGCACACGCATACACACACATACACTTTCTCACTCTCTCTGACACACTCTCTCTCTCACTCACACACACACGCTGTCACACACACACACGCTCTCACACATTCTCTCTCTCTCACACACACAATCTTACTCTCTCTTACTCCCTCTCCTCTCGCTCACTCACTTTATTTCTGCTTTAACAGTCATACTTTTTTTTACAGGAATTTGAAATAGAACTGGAAGGATCTCAGACGCTACGAATTTTATGCTATGAAAAATGCTACAACAAAACAAAACTCACCAAAGAAGATGCTGAAGTTACTGATAAAATCATGGGGAAAGGACAGATTCAGGTAGGTCCTTCACTCAGTTCAAAAGACTACTGCAAAACAAGTTATTAGATTCACTGGAAACTCAGGGCTGTCTTTGACACAGTTCCAACACTGACCGAAAATTTGTTGGGAAGCCTATGATTCTGCATAATTGATTTGAGGCATGACTATCTCAGGAAAAAGTGTTGTCTTAGAGAGCTGTTTGACCAGTATGAGGTGCTGGCAGTTCTGGAGTACCATCACTGGAAGCAGAGGCAAGCATTGAGAGTACAGGCAGTTCCACAACAAAATAACACCAGGTTAAATCTGAGGTTTTGGAGAGGGGAAGGTTTAGGGAACCAGCTTCAAGAACCCAGTGGGAAGAGGTAAAGGTAGCCTATTCTTTGAGGGGGAAGGGGTGTCTCCAATTGCCGAGGGAGCCAAAAACGTTGTTTAGCCATTACCTACATTGAACAAAGAACAAAGAAAATTACAGCACAGGAACAGGCCGTTTGGCCCTCCAAGCCTGCGCCAATCCAGATCCTCCATCTAAACCTGTTGCCTATTTTCCAAGAATCTGTATCCCTCTGCTCCCTGCCCATTCATGTATCTGCCCAGATACATCTTAAATGATGCTATCATGCCCACCTCTACCACCTCTGCGGCAACGCATTCCAGGCACCCACCACCCTCTGCATAAAGAACTTTCCATGCATATCTCCCTTAAACTTTTCCGCTCTCACCTTGAAATCATGACCCCTAGTAATTGAGTCCCCCACTCTGAGAAAAAGCTTCTTGCTATCCACCCTGTCTATACCTCTCATGATTTTGTAGACCTCAATCAGGTCCCCCCTCAACCTCCATCTTTCCAATGTAAATAATCCTAATCTACTCAACCTCTCTTCGTAGCTAGCGCCCTCCATACCAGGCAACATCCTGGTGAACCTCCTCTGCACCCTCTCCAAAGCATCCACATCCTTTTGGTAATGTGACGACCAGAACTGTACGCAGTATTCCAAATGTAGTCGAACCAAAGTCCTATACAACTGCAACATGACCTGCCAACTCTTGTACTCAGTGCCCTGTCCGATTAAGGAAAGCATGCCATATGCCTTCTTGACCACTCTATCGACCTGCATTGCCAACTTCAGGGTACAATGGACCTGAGCACCCAGATCTCGCTGTGCATCAATTTTCCCCAGCGCTTTTCCATTTACCGTATAGTTTGCTCTTGAATTAGATCTTCCAAAATGCATCACCTCGCATTTGCCTGGATTGAACTCCATCTGCCATTTCTCCGCCCAACTCTCCAATCTATCTATATTCTGCTGCATTCTCCCGACAGTCCCCTTCACTATCTGCTACTCCACCAATCTTAGTGTCGTCTGCAAACTTGCTAATCAGACCATCTATGCCTTCCTCCAGATGATTTATGTATATCGCAAACAACAGTGGTTCCAACACAGATCCCTGTGGAACATCACTGGTCACAGTTCTCCATTTTGAGAAACTCCCTTCCACTACATCTCTCTGTCTCCTGTTGCCCACCCAGTTCTCTATCCATCTAGCTAGTACACCCTGGACCCCGTGCGACTTCACTTTCTCCATCAGCCTACCATGGGGAACCTTATCAAACGCCTTACTGAAGTCCATGTAGATGACATCTACAGCCCTTCCCTCATCTATCAACTTTGTCACTTCCTCAAAGAATTCTATCAAGTTGGTAAGACATGACCTTCCCTGCACAAAACCATGCTGCCTATCACTAATAAGCCCATTTTCTTCCAAATGTTAATAGATCCTATCCCTCAGTATCTTCTCCAGTGGCTTCCCCACCACTGACGTCAGGCTCACCCGTCTGAATTACCTGGATTATCCTTGCTACCCTTCTTAAACAAGGGGATAACATGAGCAATTCTCCCATCCTCCAGGACCTCACCCGTGCTCAAGGATGCTGCAAAGATATCTGTTAAGGCCCCAGCTATTTCCTGTCTCGCTTCCCTCAGTAACCTGGGACAGATCCCATCCGGACCTGGGTACTTGTCCACCCTACTGCCTTTTCGAATACCCAGTACTTCCCCCCCTCCTAATGCCAACTTGACCGAGAGTAATCAAACATCTATCCCTAACCTCAACATCCGTCATGTCCCTCTCCTCGGTGAATACTGACGCAGAGTACTCATTAAGAATCTCACTCATTTTCTCTGACTCCTCGCATAACTTCCCTCCTTTGTCCTTGAGTCGGCCAACCCTTTCTCTAGTTACCCTCTTGCTCCTTATGTACGAATAAAAGGCTTTGGGATTTTCCTTAACCCTATTTGCTAAAGATATTTCATGACCCCTTTTAGCCCTCTTAATTCCTCGTTTCAGATTGGTCCTACTTTCCCGATATTCTTCCAAAGCTTTGTCTGTTTTCAGTCGCCTAGACCTTATGTATGCTTCCCTTGTCCTCTTTGCTAGTCTCACAATTTCACCTGTCATCCATGGTTCCCTAATCTTGCCCTTCCTATCACTCATTTTCACAGGGACATGTCTGTCCTGCACTCTCATCAACCTCTCTTTAGAAGCCTCCCACATATCAAATGTGGATTTACCCTCAAACAGCTGCTCCCAATCCAAATTCCCCAGCTCCTGTCAAATTTTGCTGTAGTTGGCCTTCCCCCAATTTAGCACTCTTCCTTTAAGGACCACTCTCGTCTTTGTCCATCAGTATTCTAAAACTTACGGAATTGTGATCACTGTTCCCAAAGTAATCCCCTACTGAAACTTCAACCACTTGGCCGGGCTCATTCCCCAACACCAGGTCCAGTATGGCCCCTTCCCGAGTTGGACTATTTACATGCTGCTCTAGAAAACCTTCCTGGATGCTCCTTACAAATTCTGCTCCATCTAAACCCCTAACACTAAGTGAATCCCAGTCAATGTTGGGAAAATTAAAATCTCCCATCACTACCACCCTGTTGCTCCTACATCTTTCCATAATCTGTCTACGTATTTGTGCCTCTATCTCACGCTCGCTGTTGGGAGGCCTGCAGTACAGCCCCAACATTGTTACCGCACCCTTCCTATTTCTGAGCTCTGCCCATATTGCCTCACTGCTCGAGTCCTCCACAGTGCCCTCCTTCAGCACAGCTGTGATATTCTCTTTGACCAGTAATGCAACTCCTCCACCCCTTTTACCTCCCTCTCTATCCCACCTGAAGCATCTATATCCTGGTATATTTAGTTGCCAATTTTGCCCTTCCCTCAACCAAGTCTCAGTAATAGCAATAACATCATACTCCCAGGTACCAATCCAAGCCCTAAGTTCATCTGCCTTACCTACTACGCTTCTCGCATTAAAACAAATTCACCTCAGACCACCAGTCCCTTTGCGTTCATCATCTGCTCTCTGCCTACTCTTCCCCTTTGTCACACTGACCTCATTATCTAGTTCCTTACAGGCTTTAGTTACTACCTCCTTACTGTCCACTATCTTCCCCATTTGGTTCCCATCCCCCTTCCACATTAGTTGAAACCCTCCCCAACAGCGTTAGCAAAAGCACCCCCGAGGACATTGGTTCCTGTCCTGCCCAGGTGTAGACCGTCCGATTTGTAATAGTCCCACCTCCCCCAGAGCCAGTCCCAATGTCCCAAAAATCTGAACCCCTCCCTCCTGCACTATCTCTCAAGCCACTCATTTATCCTGCCTGTTCTTTCATTTCTACTCTGACTAGCACGTGGCACTGGTAGCAATCCTGAGATTACTCCCTCTGAGGTCCTACTTTTTAACATGGCTCCTAACTCCCTAAATTCTGCTTATAGGACCTCATCCCACTTATTACCTACATCATTGGTCCCTATGTGCACCACGACAGCTGGCTGTTCACCCTCCCCCTTCAGAATGTCCTGCAGTTGATCTGAGACATCCCTGACCCGTGCACCTGGCAGGCAACACACCATTCGGGAGTCTTGTTTTCGACCACAGAACCGCCTATCTACTCCTCTTAAAATCGAATCCCCTATGACTATAGCCCTTCCACTCTTTTTCCCATCCTTCTGTACAGCAGAGCCAGCCACGGTGCCATGAACCTGGCTACAGCTGCCTTCCCCTGGTGAGCCATCTCCCCCAACAGTATCCAAAACGGTATACCTGTACAGCCTTCCTGCATTTTCTCTGCCTTTTGGTCACCCATTCCCTTTCTCCCTCAGCAATCCTAATCTGCGGTATGACAAATTTGCTAAATGTGCTCTCCACGACTTCCTCAGCATCGCGGATGCTCCAAAGTGAGTCCATCTGCAGCTCCAGAGCTGTCATGCGGTCTAACAAGAGCTGCAGCTGGACACGTTGCCTGCACGTGTCGGAGTCAGGGACATCAGCCGCATCCCTGAGCTCCCACATTGAACAAGAGGAGCATAACACGATTTCCTGCCATTTTTACTCTTAAACTTAGCTTAGTCCTACTATAATATCAAATAATAGATAAATGAAATGAAAAAAATTTTACCAATCACTCGACTTACCTGCACAAGATAAAAAACAAAGAAAAAGAAAAGCCTTACCTTATCAACACACCACAGAGTCTCAGGTTTAGCCACTGCCCAAATATATTAGTTCACTCACCTTCCCAGAGTGCAATTCGACTGCTCCCACTCAGCTCCACTGCCGAAATGAAAAGCTCACCTTCCCAGCAGTCCCCTCGCGTGCTCTCTCCCGACTCCCGCCACTGAACAAATGGAGGCCACTGATTCCACAAGGTAAGTCTTTTAAAATGAAAAGCTTACCTTCCCAGCAGTCCCCTCGCGCTCACTCCCGACTCCCGCCACTGAACAAATGGAGGCCGCTGATTCCACGAGGTAAGTGTTTTAAAATGAAAAGTTCACCTTCCCAGCAGTCCCCTCGCATGCTCTCCCGACTCCTGCCACTGAACAAATGGATAGCAAAAGTTGCTGGGCTTCTTCTACACAGTTGGCCTCCCACTGATGAGGGTAGAATGTCAGCAGTGGTGCACTGAAACCATTAGGAGGCCTTTAGTTCCCGACTTCAAATGGATGGAGGTAGGCCACCCGCTGAATAGTAATTGATTTATTTTGGCTTGGTTTATTGTTGTCACAAGTACCAAGAGACAGTGAAAAATATTGTTTTGTGTGCTAACCAGACCAATCGTACCTTACATGAGTACATCAGGGTAATGGAACAAAATGCAGATTATTGTGTTACACCTACAGAGAAAGTGCAGAGATAGATCAACTCCAATATATGAGAGGTCCATTCAACAGTCTGATAATAGCAGGTAAGAAGCTGTTCTTAAATCTGTTAGTACGTGTTTTCAACCTTTTGTATCTTATGCCCAATGGAAGGGTGGAAGAGGATATAACTGGGTTGGGAGTCTATGATTATGTTGGCTGTTTTCCCGAGGCAGCAGGAAATGTAGGTGGAGTCAATGGAAGGAAGGCTGGTTTCGTGTTGGACTAAGCTAAACAACTCTCTGTAATTTCTTGGACAACACAGTGTGGAGCTGGAGGAACACAGCAGGCCAGGCAGCATCAGAGGAGCAGGAAAGTTGACGTTTTGGGTCGGGACCTTCTTCAGAAATGAGGAGGGGGAAGGGAGCTGGGAAATAAGTAGAGAGAAGAGGGCTGGGGCTGGGGAATGTAGGTGGGATGGTGATAGTTGAGTGGAGGTGGGGAGTGATGGGGATAGGTCAGTGGGATGGCTGGGTCAGATAGGTGGGAGAGAAGATGGACAGGTTGTGTCGTGTCAAGGGGATGAGAGGGCGGGTTGGACATGGGATGCGGTTGGGGGTGGGTAGATCTTAAAACTGGTGAATTCCTTTTATAGGCCGTCGGGCTGTAGGCTCCCAGGTGGAATATGAGGTGTTGCTTCTCCAGTTTGCGGGTGGTGTCATTGTGACACTGGAGGAGGCCCAGGATGGACATGTCACCTAGGGAATGCAAGGGGAAGTTAAACTAGTCAGTGACCAGAAGGTGTTGCCATTTGTTGCGCACAGAACGCAGATGCTCTACGAAGCAGTCTCAGAGTCTACCTTTGGTCTCACCGCTGTAGAGAGGCCACATCGGGAGCAACGGATACAGTAGACCAAATTGATGGATATATAGGGGAACTCCTGTCTGATATGAAAGGTTTGTTTTGGGCCTTGAATGGAGTTGAGTGGGAAGGTGTAGGGGCAGGTGTGGCACTTTCTGCGGCTGCAGGGAAAGTTGCTGGGTGTGGTGGGGTTAATGGGGAGTGTGGAGCGGACGAGGGAGTCACGGAGAGAGCAGTCTCTCTCAATAGGGGTGGGGAGGGAAATATCTCTTTGGTTGTGGGGTCAGATTGTAGGTGACAGAAGTGGTGGAGAATGATACACTGGATGTGGAGGTTTGTGGGGTGATATGACACTTCTGCCCTCACACTCCCTCCCCCAACAAAAATAAAGACAGAACCCCCATTGTCCTCATATATCACCCCACCAACCTCTGCATCCAGCGCATCATTCTCTGCCACTTCCACCACCTACAATCCGACCCCACAACCAAAGACGTATTTCCTTCACCACCCTATCTGCCTTTCGTAGGGACTGCTCTCTCCGCAACTCTCTCGTCTGCTCCACACTCCCTGTTAACCCCGCCACCCCCAGCATCTTTCCTTGCAACCACAGGAAGTGCTACACCTGCCTCTACACCTCCATATGACAGTAAAAACTGTAAGCACACTGAACTTGCTTGTGCTTACCTCCACAACTTCTCCTTTATGGAATTCACCAGTGTTAAAATCTCCCCAACCCCGGCCTCATCCCATCTCCAACCATCCCTCTTCTACCTGCCTCCTTGACTTGACACAACATGTCCATATTCTCTCCCATCTATCCACTCCACCCCACCCACCCCACTGACCAATCCCCACCACTCCCTACCTATCCGAAATGTCAACTTTCCTGCTCCTCTGATGCTGCCTAGCCTGCTGTGTTCCTCCAGCTCCACACTGTGTTACCTCTGACTCCAGCATCTACAGTTCTTGCTATCTCTCTTTAATTTCTTACTGTCTTCGGCAGAGCAGTTGCCATACCAAACTATGACGCATTTGCATAGGATGCTTTCTGTGACGCATCTATAAAAATTGGTAAGAGTCATTGTGGACATGCAGAATCTCCTTTGCCTTCTGAGGAAGTAGAGGCATTGGCATGCTTCCTTGACTGTAGAGTCGATGTGGATGGATCATTGGTGATATTTATTCTTAGGAACTTGAAGCTCTCGACCACCTCCATCTCAGCACCGTTGATACAGGCGGGGGCGGTGTCCTCCATTCGGCTTCCTGAAATCGATGACTAGCTCCTTCATTTTGCTGACATTAAGGCGGAGATTGTTGTCTTTACACATGCCACTAAGCACTCTTTCTCTTACCTGTAGTCTGTCTTATCACTGTTTGAGATCCAACCCACTACGGTAGTGTCATCAGCAAATTTGTAAATGGAGTCAGAACTTAATTTGGCCATACAGTTTTGAGTGTATAAGGGAATACTAAGGGACTGAGTACCCAGCCTTGCAGGGCACCGGTGTTGAGGATTATTGTGGAGGAGGTGTAATCACCTATCCTTACTGATGGTGATCTGCAGGTCAGGAAGTCGAGGATCTGGCTGCAGTGGGGAGCAGAGTCCTAGGTCTCAGAGTTTCATCTCGGTGTTTGGAGATGAGTTTTGTTGGAATAATGGTCTTGAAGGCGGAATTAAAGTTAGTAAATAGGATTTTGACATAGGTATCCTTCTTATTCAGATACTCCAAGAATGAGTGTCGGGCCGGGGAGATGGCATCTGCCGTGGGCCTATTGTGATGATAGGCGAATTGCAGTGGATCAAGGCAATCAGGGAGGCTGGTGTTTCCCCACCTTCAAAGCAACAATATAGGTTAAACATCTTCAGTTCCACAAACAAGGATAAATAAATGGATAAGGTCCTAAAAGCAGGATATAGGGAATGAGATTGCAAGTTAAAAAGTAGAACCTCAAAGTTAATGATCTCAGGATTGCTACCAGTGCCACAGCTAGTCAGAGTAAAAGTAGTAGGAAATATTAGATGAATATGTGGACAGAGAGATGGTGCAAGGGGGAAGGTTTCAAATTCTTTGGCCAGTTCCGGGTGAGGTGGGGTCAGTACAGGCTGGGCTGGTTACACCTGGACAGGATCAGGACTGATGCCCCACGGGGAGTATCTGCTGATGTGGTTGGGAGGGTTTAAACTAAAATGGCAGGTGTGTGGGAACCTCTACGGGGAGACAGAAGAAAGGGAAACAAGGGCAACAAGAAAACACAGAATGGGAAATAAGAGAAGTGATGGGCAAAGAATTCAAAGGCAAGAATCAAACAGGGCCACGGTGCAAAATAATGTTAAAAAGACAAGCCTTAAGGCCTTGTGTCTTAATATGCTGAGTACTCACAAAATAAAGTGGTTGAATTAGTTATGCAAAAAGGTATAAACAGGTATGTTATAGTTTGGTTTGATTTGATTATTGTTTACAATAGATGATTCAGAGTTGAGGACCAAGTTTAGAGTGTCAAAGTTCACAGATGACACAAGATGAGTGGTAGAGCAAAGTGTACAGAAGTCACTGAAAGTCTGCAGAGGGTTATAGATAGGTTAAGTGAGTGGGCAAAAGTCTGGCAGATGGATTACAACACTGATAAATATGAGGTTATCCATTTTAGTAGGAATAACAGCAAAATGGACTATTTTTTAATTGCAGCATGCTGCTATGCAGAGGGATCTGGGTGTCCTTGTGCATGAATCAGAAAAAGTTGGTTTGCAGGTGCAGCAGGTCCTTAAGAAAGTAAATTGAACATTGTCCTTCATTGCTGCAGAGATGGAGTTTAAAAACAAAAAGGTTATGCTTCAGCTGTATAGGGTGCTGCTGAGACCACACGTGGAGTATTGTGTACAGTTTTGGTCTCCTTATTTGAGAAAGGATGCACTAGAGGGAGTGCAGTGGAGATTACTAGGCTGATTCCAGAGTTGAGAGGTTTGGCTTATGAGGAGAGATTGAGTCGACCAGGGCTATACTCATTGCAAATTAGAAGAATGTGGGGGGATCTAATACAAACGTATAAAATTATGAAGGGAATAAATAAGATAGAGCCAGGGAGGTTGTTTCCACTGGCAGGTGAAACTAGAACTAGGGGGCATAGCCGCAAAATAAGGGAGAGTAGATTTAGGACTGAGTTGAGGAAGAACTTCTCCACCCAAAGGGTTATGAATCTCTGGAATTCCCTGTCCAGTGAAGCGGTTGAGGCTACCCTGTTGAATGTTTTTAAGGCAAAAATAGATAGATTTTTGCACAGTAAAGAAATTAAAGGTTATGGTGAGTGGGCAGGTAAGTGGAGCTGAATCCTCGATAAGATCAGCCAGGATCTTATTCAATGGTGGAGCAGGCTCAATGGGCCTCTTCCTCCTATTTCTTATGTTCTTACGTACTGAGATAAAGTGAAAAATATTGTGTTGTGTGCTGTCCAGGCAAATCATACCATACATAAATATATTAGGGTAATAGAACAGAATGCACAATATATGTTACAGCTACAGAGAAGGTGCAGAGAAAGATCAACATTACGATATGAGAGATCATACAAAAGTCGAATAACCGTGGGGAAGAAACTGTTCTTCAATCAGTTGGTATGTTTTCAAACTTGCATCTTATGCCTGATGGAAAAGGGTGGAAGAGAGTGAAACTGGAGTGGGAGGGATCTTGATTTATATTGGCTGTTTTCCTGAGGCAGTGGGAAGTGTAGACGGAGTGGAATGGAAGGCTTGCTTTTTTGATGGATTGGGTTGGGATCACAACTCTCTGTAAATTCTTCTGTTCTTGGAATTATAGAGAGTGGGTTCAGAGATGAGGGAACTGAATATCCAGGGATGTTCAGTTTTTAGAAAAGACAAACAAAGAAATAATGGTGATGTAGCATTGCTGGTTAAGAGGAAATTAGAGCTTAGAAAACCTGGGGTTGGCAAACAATAGTGGGGTTTGTATATAGACCCCAAAACTGTAGTCGTATTGTTGGGGAAGGCATCAAACAGAAAACTAGAGTAGCAAGCAGTAATGATACAGCTGAAAGTATGGGTAACTTAAATTTTTTCTATTCATTTGTGGGATGTGGGCGTCGATGGCTGGCCAGCATTTCTTGCCCATTCCTAGTTGCCCTTGAGAAGGTGGTGGTGAGCTGCCTTCTTGAACCGCTGCAGTCCTCCTGCTGTGGGTTGACCCACAATGCTATTAGGGAAGGAATTCGAGGATTTTGACTCAGCGACAGTGAAGGAATGGCGATATATTTCCAAGTCAGGATGGTGAGTGACCTGGAGGGGAACTCGGAGGTGGTGGTGTTCTCATATGTGTGATGCCCTTGTCCTTCTAGATGGAAGTGGTTGTGGGTTTGGAAGGTGCTGTGTGAGGATCTTTGGCGAATTTCTGCAGTGCATCTTATAGATAGTACACACTGCTGCTACTGAGCATCGGTGGTGGAGGGAGTCAATGCTCATGGATGTAGTGCCAATCGAGCGGGCTTCTTTGTCCTGGATGGTATCAAGCTTCTTGAGTGTTGTTGGGGCTGCACTCATCCAGGCAAGTGGGGAGTATTCCATCACACTGCTGACTTGTGCCTTGTAGATGGTGGTCAGGCTTTGAGGAGTCAGGAGGTGTGTTACTCACCGCAGTATTTCTAGCTTCTGGCCTGCTCTTGTAGCCACTGTGTTAATGTGGTGAGTCCAGTTAAGTTTCTGGTCAAAGGTAACCCCCAGGATGTTGATAGTGGGGGTTTCAGTGATGATAACTTCATTGAATGTCATGGGGTGGTGGTTAGATTGTCTCTTATTGGTGATGGTCATAGTCTGGCATTTGTGTGGCACAAATGTCACTTGACACTTGTTAGCCCAAGCCTGGATATTGTCCAGATCTTGTTGCATGTGAACACAGACTGCTTCAGTACCTGAGGAGTCACGAATGGTACTGAACATTGTGCAATCATTGGCGAACATCCCCACTTCTGACCTTATGATAGAGAGAAGGTCATTGATGAAGCAGCTGAAGATACTTGGGCCTAGGACACTACCCTGAGGAACTCCTGCAGAGATGTCCTGGAACGGAGATGATTGACCTCCCACAACCACGACCATCTTCCTATGTGCAGGTATGACTCCGACCACCGGAGCGCTTGCCCCCTGATACCCATTGATTCCAGTTTTGCTAGGGCTCCTTGCTGCCACACTCCGTCGAATGCAGCCTTGATGTCTAGGGCTGTCACTCTCACCTCACCTCTGGAATTCCGCTGTTTTGTCCATGTTTTAACCAAGGCTGTAATGAGATCAGGAGCTGAGTGGCCCTGGCGGAACCCAAACTGGGCATTACTGAGCAGGTTGATGCTGAGCAGGTGCTGCTTGATAGCACTGTTGATGATGCCTTCCATCATGTTACTGATGATCGAGAGTAGACTGATCGGGCAGTAATTGGCCGAGTTGGATTTGTCCTGCTTTTTGTGTACAGGACATACTTGGGCAATTTTCCACGTTGCTGGGTAGTCATCAGTGTTGTAACTGTACTGGAACAACTTAGCTAGGGGAGCGGCATGTTCTGGAGCACAAGTCTTTAGTACCCAAGATGGATCATCCTCTTGGCACTTCTGGCTGAAGATACCGATGCAATGCCTTTCCCTGGGGGTGGCATGGTGGCTCAGTGGTTAGCCAGGGACCCAGTTTCGATTCCACCCTAGGGTGACTGTCTGTGTGGAGTTTGCACATTCTCCCCGTGTCTGCATGGGTTTCCTCCGGGTGCTCCGGTTTCCTCCCACAGTCCAAAGATGTGCAGGTTAGGTGAATTGGCTATGCTAAATTTCCCATAGTGTTCAGGGATGTGTAGATTATGGGGTTTGGGTCTGGGTGGGATGCTGTGAGGGTCGTTGTGGACTTGTTGGGCCGAGGGGCCTGTTTCCACACTGTAGGCATTCTATGATGATCTATGATGGTTGCTGCGAATGCTTCTTCCTTCTCTTTTGCACTGATGTGCTGGGCTCTTCCATCATTGAGGATGGGGATATTTGTGGAGCCTCCTCCTCCAATGAGTTGTTTACCCATTCACGATTGGGTATGACAAGACTGCAGAGCTTAGATCCGATCTATTGGTTGCGGGTCGCTTAGCTCTGTCTATCACTTGCTGTTTTCACTGTTTGGCGTGCAAGTAGTCCTGTTTGGTGGCTTCACCAGGTGGATACCTCAACTTCAGGTATGCCTGGTGCTGCTCCTGGCATGCCCTCCTGCACTCTTCATTGAACCAGGGTTGATCCCCTGGCTTGATGGTAATTGTTGAGTGGGGTTATATGCCGAACCATGAGGTTACAGATTGTGCTAGAGTACAATTCTGCTGCTGTTGATGGACCACAGCGCCTCATGGATGCCCAGTCTTGAGTCGCTAGATCTGTGCAAAGTCTGCCTCATTTAGCATGGTGATAGTGCCACACAACATGATGGAGGTTGTTCTCAATGTGAAGGCGGTACTCCTCTCCACAAGGACTGTGTATTGATCACTCTTACCGATACTGCCATGGACAGATGCAACTGCAGCTGGCAGATTTGTAAGGATGAGGTCAAGTATGTTTTTCCCTCTTGTTGGTTCCCTCACCACCTGCCACAGACCCAGCCTAGCAATTATGTCCTTTAGGACCCGACAAGCTCACTCAGTAGTACTGCTGCCGAGCCACTCTTGGTGGTGGACATTGAAATCCAGAGTACGTTTTGTGCCCTTGCCGTTCTCAGTGCTTCCTCTCAGTGTTGTTCAACATTGAGGAGTACTGATTCATCAGCTGAGGGAGGACGGTATGTGGTAATCAGCAAGAGACTTCATGGGGTCCGGAGTCAATGTTGAGGACTCCTAGAGCAACACCCTCCTGACTATATGCCATTGTGCCTCCCCCTCTGCTGGGCCTGTCCTACCGATGAGACAGGACATATCCAGGGATGGTGATGGTGGTGTCTGGGACGTTGTCTGTAAGGTATGATTCTGTGAGTATGACTATGTCAGGCTGTTGCTTGACTATTCTGTGAGACAGCTGTCCCAATTTTGTCACTAATCCCCAGATGTTAGTGAAGAGGACTTTGCACAGTCGACAGGGCTGTTTTTGCTGTTGTCTTTTCAGGTGCCTAGGTCAGTGCCAGGTGATCCGTCCAGTTTCATTTCTTTGTATCTTTGTAGCTAGTGGCTTGCTAGTCAACCACATTGCTGTGGGTCTGGAGTCACATGTAGGCCAGTCTAGGTGAGGGTGGCAGATTTCCTTCCCTGAAGGACATTAGTGAACCAGATGGGTTTTTCCGACAATCGGCAATTATTTCATGGTGATCAGTAGATCCTTAATTCCAGACTTTTTTTTTGAGTTCCAATTCCACCATCTGCCATGGTGGGATTCGAGCCCGGGTCCCCAGAACATCAGCTGGGTTTCTAAATTAGTAGTCTGGCGATAATTCCACTAGGCCATTGCCTACCCCTGTATATAGATAGTGCAAGTTGAATCAGCAGCAATACCACATAGGAGGAATCCCTGAAAGTGTGTATGTAATGGTTTTCTGGATTCATACATTGAAGAACCAACTAGAGAACAGGTCATCCTAGACTGGATATTGTGTAATGAGAAAGGAATAATTGGCAGTCTAATGTGTGGGACCCTCAGGAAGAGTGACAATGATAGAATTTTTCATTAAAATGGAAATTGACAGGTGATTCTGATATAAGGACATAAGTCTAAGTCAAGGAAGCCACAATGGTATGAGACATGAGCTGGCTGTGATAAATTGGGGACATTACTTAAACAGATCATGGTGGACAGGCATTGGCAAACATTTAAAGAGTGCATGGAGTAACTGCAACATTTCTGTCCCCGCAAAAACAAAACAGGAAAGGTGGCCTTACGATGGCTAACAAGGTTAATTAGGAATAGTATTTGATCGAAGGAAGGGGCATAGAAATTGAGATTTTAGAAATTGACCAAAAATAGCACCAAACTTGCGGATTGAAAGCAGTTTAGGTTTTAGCAAAAGAGAACAAACAGGTTCGTTCATAGTGGGAAAATAGAGTATGAGAGTAAGCTTGAGGGGAACATACTGATTGTAAAAGCTTCTATAGGTAAGTGAAGAGAAGATGATTAGTAAAGACAAATGTAGGTCCCTTAAAGTCAGAGATAGGGGAAGTTATAATGAGGAACAAAGGGACTGCAGACAAATTAAATACTTATTTTGTTTTTGTCTTCACAAAGAAGGACACTAAAATTTTTTGGAACACAGGGTCTAATTAAGTAGAGGAACTAAAGGAAATCAATATTAGGAGGAAAATTAGAGGGGAAATTGATGGGATTAAAGTGGGGTACACGTTACACTGAGATTATACCCTCACGTCATAGACTCTCCCACAACAGAAAACAGCCTTTTCACAGTGACCATGTCAAGCCCCCCTCAGAATCTTATATGTTTCTCTCATTCTTCAGTGTGTACAGGACCAACCTACTCAATCTATCCTCGTAAGAAAATCCCTCTTATACTCAGAATCAACTCAGTGAACCTCTTCTGGACTGTCTCCAATGCCAGTATATCTTTCCTTAGATAAGCGGACTAAAACAGTTTACAGTATCTATACTAGTGTC